CTGAGATTTGTTCTTACAATTCGTTAAGGAAACTGAATTTCCATTACAGTGATCGGCCCACAAAAACTAAGCTGTCACTATAAACCCACCTCTTCCCATTATATTCTTTTGCTGCATTTCTGAGAAGATGGTTATTAACAGGCCACTTTATTTTTCCAGTAAGCATGAAGGAAAAAAATGCTAGGAAAACTGCTAGAAGAATTTTGCTTATTTTTCCTGGTTCGAAGCTGGGTGATGGGCACTCTGCATGAAGATGGACTTATGCTACGCTCATTAAAACTTAAGGCAAGCCTGGGTCCATGTAGGTCAGCACCATGTCTCTGGCCATCTCACAGACTCTGATGGGACCTGCATTGCATGTGCTGCCCGGTGACAGCTTGGGCTACTGAGCACATTGGTCCTACTGTGCTCTATTAGCTTATTTTTAATGCTGTGCTTCTTCCCAGCCTTCTTCCATACCCCTGAACTGCCAAAACATGATACCTATTTGCTGCAGTAAGGCAGGGCACTGGAGGGAGCTTGCGGCAGCCATAGGACTGGTTTGAGGACTCCTGTTGACAGCCTGCTTCAAGCGTACGTGAAACCAAGGTAAGGCAGAAACTCTGCTGAGCTGGAGTCAGAAAGGTGCCCTCCTCCCTCTGCATGCACTGCTCCCTTCTCTCCTCCTGCCCCATGTCGCAGGGGTCTGCGCAAGGGATTTGCTCCCAGCCTTTGCAGTACCCGGTTAAGAAGCACAGAGCTGGTGACTAAACTCTGGCTTTAATGTCTGAAACTGCAAATTGAAAAAATACATCATTTTACCTGCAAAAAAAAGAAGATTCAGGTGACACAAACCAAGCAGCTGCTTGGAGGCCAGGTAGTAAGTGGCGGGAGGGGTCTGTGTGTTGCTGTGGATGGGTGCTACCGAATTCGTGCTCATGGAAAGCTGACAGCAACATTTCTGAGCTAGACAGACATCTCTGTGGAGGGGAAGGCAGCTGAAAACAGAGCTGACCCTCGCTAAGGGAGTAAACACTGTGTTTTTGCAAGAGGTATGACATGCATACTTCTGTTAAAGTAACAGCGTAAAGCACCAAGAACAACCACTGGAAATGTGGCAACATCTGGTTTCAGTGCTGAAAACATGCCAGCCCACTCAGGCCATGTGGGGCAATTTCAGGAGATGGAAGACCAAAGCCGAAAAGGAGCTACACCCTCGCGCTTTGTATCTGGGGTGGGGAGAGGCTGGCCCCCACCCTCCCATGCTCTGCAGCCTGGCTGGCCGCTGGCTGCCGTCGGGCACTCGCCCGGCGCCCCCCAGCTCAGGCACGGAGCACGCTGGAGGCGGTGCTGCCATTTGCAGACGAGACGGTCCCTTGCTCACCAACTGGCACCACTTGCCCTTGACCAGCACAAGTGGCATTTCCATCAGCTCCTGCGCTGCAGGACTCCAGCCTTGTCCGCTGCTCTGAGTTCACTGAGTAGCAGCGATTTAAACAGCTGAAAAAAATGAAAACAGCAACGAGCTGGTGCTTTACTCTGGCTGAGTTGGTGGTTTCTCCTGAGCGATGAGAGCAGGGCTCCGCACCACCCGGAGCAGAGCCCTGACTGACTCCCAGGAGCATCAGCACCAGCACTGCGTGAGGGGCTTGGCCTTTTTCCAGCTTTGCCCTGGGGGCATCTGGGGCTGGACCTCTACCCTCAGCAGGAGCAGGGGTTACAGACAGGGCTGCATTCATGGGCCTCCTTCACTGCATGACCGTCATCTCCTGTTCTTTGAGGCTCTCCCTAAGGAATTTAGATTCCAGTTAATCCTTTGGCACCATCAAGTTCAGCTCTTCCACCCTTGAAGACTAATGAGGTGCATTAAGATTAAACCCACCAAGGAGAACACCAATGGCTTTGCTCCTGAGCGCTCATTCAGACCCTTCTGAAATCGCTCCCGCAGTGCCTTGGTTCACGCTGCCCGTGGCTTGTTGGGTGCTGAGCAGCCCGATGGCGCCGGACCCACGCCGAGCAAGAGGGAGGGCTAAATGGTCTTGGGAGTCACCTTCCAACCCAAGATTCCTGGTGGTTCTGATACCAAAAGCCATCTCACGAAAATAACGAACTGAAAAGAGATGGAGCTTCTGTCTTTGGCTGTTGTTTCCATGTATAACATGGTCACCAACAGCAGCTCCTTCCGTACCTATCTCATCAGGAACAAAAGTGATGGAGAAAGTGTACAAGGGTGGATTTCTAGCAAAGAACTGTGACTTGCAGGGCTCTTACTTGGACTCTCTCATCTCTCTGGCTGAAGTCCCTGGGAGCTGTAAGCCCAACCCTGCTCGCCACAGTCCACACAGCCAGAAGCACCCAAAACTCACCGTCACTTTTGAAATGTGTGAAAGGGGCTTTAAACAGAAATGAAGAGACACCCCTACACCACGCTCAGGCATCACACAGCTGAACAGAACCCGTCCGTCTGCATCCGCCTCTGGAATTTTGGGAAGGTTGTCTTGGGATGTGGACACGGAGCTGTGCCTGAACATTGCGCCTGTCGGCCGTCTCAGGGAGGCAGTTTAAACTCTTCAGTGATCTCTGATCTTTCAGGGTTAACGATCGGATGCAACTTTGAAGCTGCTGAACTTGTGAACCAGGATGTGTTGGGAAAGGCCAAGGCATGCAAAGATCAGCTGTTTCCCGGGAGGAGCGTGTTAGCTGAAGTGATGGGGAGGGTTTGTGTCTGGTGGGGATCTCTCTAAGGGTGGGTGATGCCGTGGCCCCGCACAGCCACAGCAGCCCCTGTGCTTCAGCACACACGGGAGCTCCAGCAGCTTTCCTGTGCTAGTACAGTGCCATGAGATCAGCAGCAGGCGTAAATCCATGGCTGCTGCGTTGTGCTGCGTGGGGTTGGGGAGTTTTTTTAGCTTGTTTCAGTTCAAATGAGATCAAACCCAATCACTTATTACAGGTTTTCTCTCGTCACCCCTCAGCTGCTCCCCAAAGGCAACCCAAACCATCGCCTCGTGACCCATTCGGATGCACACGGGGTGTGCCCTGTCTCCCTCAGGCCAAAGCTCAAGCTGGGGGGAGGCAAGCAAGGGGCAGCTGGGCCGTCCCCACGCCAGGCAGCGCGGCTGTGCCCATTCCCACCCCAGCAGGCTGCTCCGGTCTAACGCCGCCCTGCACCAGCTCGCTGACAGGCTGCGGGTACCACTCCAATCCCGGACACCCCCCGCTTTGCCTTTGGGTCTTTTGCCCCTCCCTCCTCCCAGGCATGGCAGATATTTCCCAAATGACTTCAGTTTTACAAGTTTTTAGGCTGTTATCTGGTATGAAAGCATGAACAGAGCAACTCTAATGGGATGCAGGATGTGTGGATGTGAAAACTCGTTTCTAAAAGAGGCATGTTTGAAAATTGTGCACTTCAGAATAACGCGTTTTCTTCTCGTTCCTCCAGCATGCATTTTTAAGCTGAACCGTCTAAGATTGATACCTCTGCAGCAAATTCGGGTTTCACCGTGGAGCAACTTAGAGAAGGGTAGTAGCAGGAAAAGACTTGTTAATAAACTGGGAGGGTTGTATGAAGCATCTGCCTCTTCGTGTTGTCCCCAGACCTCCTCTGCCCCACAGGGATGTCCCACTGTCACCGTGCCGGGGGGACTCCTTGGCCAGGCTTGGGTTTGCTGCTCTCCTCCTCTCACGCCCTGGCAGCTCTGCCATGAGCAGAGGTGTTGAAAGCCTTGTAATGCCAAACAAAACGCTGTCCTCGTTTACTTATTCCCCGGTGTCGCTGAGAAGCGAGTTGACAAAGGTGGTGGGTTCGAATGGGAACGTGAGCCTGGCTGATCAGCCCAGCCGTCGTTTAGAAACACTCCCTGGGACAGGGCAGTGGTG